GAGCGGGCGGGAGGGGGCGGGAGGGGGCGGGAGGGGGCGGGCGCAGCCGCCGCGGAGTCTCTGGGCGGCGCGTGGGTTCTACTAAGGGCCTGGCTGCTCCAACCTGCAGGCTGCTTCGCCGGCCAGCAGGGGGCGGTACAAGCTCACCTTGTCTCAGCCCTTTTCCCAGTGTCCCGGTTCCGTGGACAAGGCTTCCTCCGCTCTCAGGTGCAATAAAAATCGCACCTTCGGAGGGCTCGCGAGAAAGCTGCGCATCCTCAGGTGTCCCGAGCGGGATGCGAATGGGGCAGGGCGAGCGCACGTGGAGGGTGTTTACAAATAGCGGCCCCGGCGTCCGCTCCTCCCAGCGCCGACTCCCGGGTATCCCCAGCCCGCCCGCCGCGGCACGACGAGCCGCAGCAAGGACCGCGAGCCAAGGTAGGAGCGAGCGGACGCGGGTCCTGGCCGAAGGCAGGGAGGCTGGCTCCCCGTGGGGACTGGGGGGAGAGGAGAGGACGTGGGGCTTACAGTCTGCAGGACCCATCCGAGCGAGCCCTGGACAGGTGGGGCGCAGCGGAGGGCGGTCAAACTGGATATCGGGTCTTTCCTCCCTGGTGCGTTGCTCGAGGGTGTGAGTCACGCTCTCCGTAGAAGCTACTCTGTGCAGAGCTGCCTGTGCCCGAGTCTGTGGGAAGCTCCCTCGTGAATTTCCTGCCGCTCCTTCACTGCCTCTGCTTCTAGGTAGTAGTAGTAAGAGAATTGCAGTTTGACAGAGGCTCCTTTGGTTTGTTTGAAACGGCGATACTGTACGTTTCTATCTGGGCATTTTAAATGGAGGGAATGCGGGCACCTGTGTGCTAATTACCCTGCGATGAACCGTGCCTTCTCCGCGTTCCCGGACTCGCTTCCCCGCTGGGCCCTCCGAGCCTTCCCTGGAGAAGGGAGCTCCGCCTTCCTCCTGTAGCACCTGTTTACCGAGGAAACGCTTTTCGTCTTTCCTTTATTACCCTTTCTTTTCTGTATAATTTGAAAAAATGGAGACGCCTTCAGTTAAGTTTCTCTAATTTCTGAACATAAATGTCTAACCTTTTTCGTTAACATAAAGTAGGGTAGTAATTCCTCATTTATTTGCAAAGGCCACGTTGTTGCTACAGTGTTTCAAAAGGGAACTGACCTGAGCATTCTTACTGAAGAAAAGAAGATGTTGATTTTTAGGCTTCTAATTATCTGACTTCCTTGCCCAGACTGCTCAATTGCCTTCCTCAAAATCGTAGCTTTGCCCTGTCTGACGTGTTGGAGAACCTTTGATCTCCTAGATACACTGTGACGTTCTAGTGGTTTTTGACAAATGACTGCTTTTCCTGAAGGTAGATCTCCGCCCTCCCCCCTCCCCCCCCCAAATCAACCCCTCAATCTTGGTTGACTATTTTGGATAAAGTGCAACATGCTAGTTTTGTATCATTTTTTAAAGTTTGCCTCTTTTCTCTGATAGTTGTAACAAGCGTGAAAACAGTTGTATCCGAGGTACGGTATGAAACGTTATTCATTCCTCAGAAGGGAAGAGAGCTGACATTTACTGACTGCCAATCAAAAGACACTGGCAGAAGTTGGCAACCTGATTTTCCCCCTACTGGGGTCACTGGTCCCATGATATTTAAATGAAATGAACTCTGCTTCTTACTTCCCTCCCCCACTATCAATGGGGTTTAATTTTCCTCCAGACACCACTTGGATCCTTTTTGTTTCTGAATTCTCCAGCTTGCTTGTGCCTTATCACTTAGAACTGTTCCCTTTTCATCACCTTGTGTAAGTTCAAATCTCGAACATAGCCCACATTCCTTGATTTCCTCAGAACACCACTTGGTAGGAGGCAGTTGTATTTAGCCGACTTTTAATAAGACTTTACCCAAGGGGGCTTCCCTGCTGGCACAGTGGATGGGAATCCGCCTGCCACTGCAGAGGACATGGGTTCAAGCCCTGGTCCGGGAAGATCCCACATGCCGCGGAACAGCTAAGCCCGTGTGCTGCAACTACTGAGCCTGCTCTCTAGAGCCCACGAGCCACAACTGCTGAGCCTGCATGCCACAACTACTGAAGTCCGCGTGCCTAGAGCCGTGCTCCGCAACAAGAGAAGCCACTGCAATGAGAAGCCCACGCACCGTGGCGAGAAGTAGCCCCCGCTCACCGCAAGCAACGAAGTTCCAACGCAGCCAAAAATAAATAAAATTAAATCTTAAAAAAAAAGACTTTACCTAAGACAGCTTTACATGAGATCCTTTCCTCTAACAGACTTGTTCCTTTTTGTTGGGGGGAGGGGTCGCTAATTGCAGCAGATATACATTAGAGTACAAGGGGGGGAACCTTAAAATAGAATGTCCGTCAGCCTTGTTTTATTAAGAGCCTAGCTGGCCACAGGGAACTTCTTATTGCCAGTTCTTTTCTTTGGGTCACAGTCTTGCCTCCGTCTTGCTTTGCTGTCCTCTCCCTTCTCTCTCCAGCATTTTTCTCAAGGCCCCTTCTCTCCTTCCCTCTCAGCTGCTTGTGAAATCTTAAGATTCTTTTTCCTTTATTACGCAGAGTCATTTCGTATACTGTTCTGTTTTCTAGTTGTCCCTTACCATTCACTGTGGCTTATTCTCTAATCAAAAGACACTCACTCCTGTGGAATTCTGCCACCAGTATTTCTTTCCTTCTACATAGACACAGTCTCTCTTAATCCTTGTAATAATACTATGAGGCTGATGTTACCTCATTTATGTACAGGGGAAGGAAGGCTAGAAAAGTGTATGAATCTATCAAATGTAGGTTGTAGAATGGAGTTTTATTTGGCTTTAAAACAACATTCTCTGCCCACGCTATCACAATCGAAGTATTTAACTCAAAGACATGAAAAGAAGAAAGTATATCATGAATACTTTTTTGCAAAATTAAAGTTGCCCTTTATTAAAATGGAACTTTTGACATTAACCTACCAAAAAGGCATTCTAGTTGTGAGAGCCCTTCAAGTCTGCAACTGTGTTCATCAGACATAGCATTTAATTTATTGGAATGTGAGTTTTCTTAATATTACTCTTAATCACCTGAAAATGGCTTATGTTTCTCACCATTACAAGCTCTAAATTCCTTTTCTGCTCAGATAATAACAGTGCAGTTACATTATGTGCATCATTTTCAGTGGTATCCTTTATTCATAATAGTTTTGTAGCAGAATAGAAAACCTCTAGGTAGAGTAAATTTTTAATTTTAAAGGAACTGCTTTTGTGCTTTCGGGGTTCCATTTAGTTTATCATTGCCCATCATCTACTTGGAGATTTTTGTTTGATACCTGAATTAGCTACTCCAATAAGCTTAGGATGAGGACATGATAACATTATTCCATATGTATTAAACTGATTTAATATCAAATAGTATTTCTCTGTTAATGAAAATTTTACTGCCAATGGAAAATCAGTGGTTTTCACAAAAAAGGTTTACTGTTAACTATTTTAAGGGGCATAACATATAGAGGGGAATTTTCAGCTAAAATATAATTTTCGGGGTGTGTTTTAGGGCAAATAAGCTGTGAAACAGTTGTGATCAGTAAAATGAAAGTTTGTACTTTGAAGTTTC